CCTGAACGGTATGTGGAATGAAGTGGGCGGGCATCGGGAGGCCACTATGGCACGGGGCAAGCACTATGGGCAGTCTATCTGAAGTGTACCTGGCGTATAAGACGACCCCCCACTTGGAGGCATATTTTTCAGGGCCAAAAAATCGTCTTATACGCCGGCAAATACGGTAGTTTGGGAAAGGCTTATCTATTATTTAGTTAAATGTTGCTTTCCCGTATATTCTGTATTTTCTTCTTTTGGATTTCCCGTGGCACATAGTGGGACTTCTGAGTCTTATTTCTGATGTCACTTTACTTTTCATTTCACACCTTCCAGTGCACTAGCCCTTTGTACTCCCTGTATTCTGAGAGGGTTTGACTTTCTACTTCATGATTACCCTCTTTGTCTGCGTTTATTCTGCTTTCAACCCATTTATTCCCCTTCCCTCCTGAATTACATTTTTATTTCCAAGATCTCTAAGGCCCTTTCCCATATCTGCTCTTATTTGAAAATAGTCCTTGTTTCATGAATGTCATATTTTCTCTTGTCTCTGTGTATTTTATGCTTACCTTGAAAGTTTGCTCTGATTCCATTATGCACTCAGCTTCAGGTGTACATTCTCCCATTTGTTGAGCCTCTACTCTCTGCTACCGCTTTGGCTCTCCTCTTTTGAGAAAGTGTCTGAAAGGAAGATGGGGCTCCCCCCACCCCTTGAGCTCCACACACACTGTAGTGGAAGTTAGATGAGGTTGAAGTATTTGGAATGTGGTTGCTCCCTATTTCAGAGCATCACTAGCACTACCTTCCCTCTCACACCCAAGCTCCTCCTAGGTTCACCGCACCCACCTGGAATGTTCTAGAGCAGTGGTTCTCAACCTGTGGGTCGCGACCCCCTTGGGGGTTGAACGACCCTTTCACATGGGTCGCCTAAGACCATCGGAAAACACATATAGAATTACATACTGTTTTTGTGATTAATCACTGTGCTTTAATTATGTTCAATTTGTAACAATGAAATTGGGGGTCACCACAACATAAGGAACTGTATTAAAGGGTTGCGGCATTAGGAAGGTTGAGAACCACTGTTCTAGAGTATGTGTAGGATGGCGTTTGGTAGATGGGCAGTGGTGCACAGAGTTTATCTCCTTCGCTCTCCTCACTTTGATTCTCCAAATAATGAACCCCTGTTGGTTTTCTTCCTGCCCCTTCCTGATTGGGCTTCCACCAGTTCTAGCTTCTGCAGTGGAACCCTTCCATTCATGTCAAGGGTTGGCTATAGGTTCCCTCTTCAATCTGATCTTTGTGTTTCTTAGGGAATTTTCAACAATTTGTCAGTTTTGAGTTTTCCTTTTGTTCCAAGCTCAGCTGAGCTTGAAAATATCCATGTTTATTTGTTCATCTATTAATTGTTTACACTTTCTCTTGTATTTTTAGGGATTTAATATGGAGAGGTGAAGACTGTGACATGTTATTAGTCTGATACTTTTGAAACTGGAAATCCTGTATTCTTTCCTTTTTTGGTTTTGCTAATCCTCACTCATTATTTAGAAAGAGGGAGAGAGAAAGAAATACCACTGTAAGAGAGACACATCGATCGGTTGTCTCCTGATGCACCCCAACCGGGCTGGGGATCGAATATGCAACCAGCTATGTGCCCTTGACTGGGAATTGAACCTGCGATCCTTTGGTCCAAGGGCCAGTGCTCTAATCATTGAGGCAAATCGGCCAGGACCTGTTTTCTTTTTTAATTCATGCTCTGGTTTTGCTAAGATTGACTTGTAATGTCAATACTGCGAATGGGTAGCATATAATCATTGATGAAGAAGAAAGCTGGTAACCTTTGGGTAATTTACATCCCTATCACTGCTTCTATCATAGATCATCACCGGTTTGTTGGATTGGATTAAGTAGAACTGGAAAAATGTATTTGAGTAGGATGGGCTAAGATGTTGCTTATATTAGGGTGGTTTTTGTGTACATCTGTACCTGCTTGCTTTATTCATTATTGTTCTACTCAAAATTGTTTTGTTTACCTACACCTCTTGCAAATTCAAACATAAAAATATTATACAAGTGAAATTAAGTAAGATTATCAAGTATTGGTGTGTTTTGGGAAAAAATGTTAGTTACAATAGGGAAGTAAAGGATTAGTTTTCAGTCTCTATTTGAGTAGGCTTAGATTCAAGTAAGGGACTGAGAAAGACATAAGAGTAGTTCAGAAGGAAACCAAATAGAAATGTGGAAAAATAATTTAATATATTTAGATCTCCATATTTGCCTATATTCTGCCTTTTTTCTTAAAATGTTGGTTTCCTTTCTTGACCTTTCTCCAAGCTTCATTATTATGTATTATTTTATTTATTTTGGTCATTCATGAAGCTGTTTTTACAAAATTGAGATATATTTCACATATAATATTTGCCCTTTTAAAGTATACAAATGAGTGGTTTTAATATACTCAAAGGTATGTAATCGTCATTTCTATTTAATTCTAGAACATTTTTATTACTCCAAAGAAACCACATGCCCATTAACAGTCACTTCCCATTTCTTTTCCCTGTAGCCCCTGGCAACCACAAAGTATCTTTTATTTCTGAATTTATCTATTCTGGACGTTTCTTATAAATGGAATCAAACAGTACGTGACCTTTTGTATCTGGCTTCTTTCACTTTCAGTGTTTACCCATATCGTGGCATATATCAGTACTTTGTTCCTTTTTTATATATAACATCTGTTAATCCAATCATCAGTTGATGGCCATTGTGTTGTTTTTACTTTTTGGCTATTATGAATACTGCTGCTGTGAACATTCATGTACAGGTTTTTGCTTGGACATATGTTTTCATATCTTTGAATATATTCCTCGAAGTGGAATTGCTGGGCCATAGGGTGACTCAGTCTTTTGAGGAACTGCCAAACTTTTTTTTCTTTTTTCAAAGCACGCCATTTTACATTCTCACCAGCAGTGTAGGAGGGTGCCAGTTTATCCACAGCCTCACCAACACTTATTATTATCTGACTTTTTTATTGTAGCCATCTTCGTGGGTATGGAGTGCATCTCATAGTGGTTGTGATAAGTATTTCTCTGATGGTAAATAAACAAACATCTCATTAGTTCATAGAGACCCTGATGAAGGGCATTGCTTTGGAATGCTAACACCAGATCCTTTTCCCCGGCAGTTGGCTCCAGGAAACCTCTACTCTTCACCCTCCAGATTCCTTGCTGGTGACGTGGAATTGTACAGGTTTTCTCCCCACCCCTCACTGCCTTCCCCCCAGGATGGTATGAGAGGTAGTGAAATAGCATTTTTTCAGTGTTTTGCACTTACCAAAAGCTGGCCCCTCAATGAGTGGGGTGATGTAGTTAGCACTCCCCATATTTGGAAAAGTCGAATTGTCTATGAATCATAAATCACATCTGAGGTGGAAGTGAAACTCGTTGAATTAACCGCTGTGCTAGCGGCTCACCCTCATTTTTGTTTTGTGGTTTTCTGCAGTCCTGGACTTCAGCGATCCCTTCAGCACTGAGGTGAAGCCGAGGATCCTGCTCATGGGCCTGAGGAGAAGTGGCAAGTCGTCGATTCAGAAAGTGGTCTTTCACAAAATGTCTCCCAACGAAACACTGTTCTTGGAGAGCACGAATAAGATCTGCCGGGAAGATGTTTCCAACAGCTCCTTTGTGAATTTTCAGATTTGGGACTTCCCAGGACAGATTGACTTTTTTGACCCTACATTTGACTATGAGATGATCTTCCGGGGAACAGGAGCCCTGATATTTGTCATAGATTCCCAGGTAAAGCCGGTCTTGGGTACAGTGGGACAGCAGGCCCTCCCCCCCACATAGACCGTCGTTCCCCTGGGGCTAAACAATTTCCTTTGTGATCGTTTCGGTTTGGGGTTTGGCTTTCAGACTTGAGAATAAGCCTCTCTACCAAACCAGCATTTCTCAGTTGGGGCTCTCAGGGTTTGCAAAGAAGTCTCCCTTCATGCAACCCTGACCGCCACGGGATGACGTTAGGGGGCTGCATAGTTGTATAGCACAGCAAAGCACAGATCTCGGAAGCCTCACAGATGGAGGGACCACTGTGCAGGCCACAGACAGCAGGTATGGGTCCCCCCTCTGATGCTCTCAGCAGGTTCTGGGTAACAAAAACGTGCGTGTAAGTTTACCTTTTAATCGGTTTCCCGTGAAGTTAAAGTTCCAAGTGTGAAATGTTTTCTTCTGAATTAAAATTATCGTAATTATTGCTAGTGCACAATTAATAAAGACAGCATAAGCATTGTGTATTTTATAGGTGACTTAAATATAAAAAGTAAAATTTGAGATATAATTGTCTCTCTTAAGAAGATGAATATTTTCCCACTTAATTCATGTGTCCATGCTTGAGTAAGACAAGATTTGACATCGATTCTATTTTTGTTTGCATAGATGTAAGCACTGAGAAGCTTTGCTCACATAAATATGTAGGGTTAGAGATAGGGTGAGTTTTGGGATAGCATTCACTCAATTATTTACACTCCTTCTAAGTTATATCCCCTAAATTGCCCAGTTTTCTATCACAAAAAAATTATTTTTAGTAGTTTCCCAACAGACATGCTGATTGGTTCTTCTTCCACTTTGCTGAGAGCAAAGAATTGGGAGCCCTTTGACTTAGTACCCAGGCATAGAGTCACTCACTTTATCAGTTATTCAAACCAGCCTTCTGAATTGTCTCTTTGGCACCCTGGGATTTTATACCCTGAGCCCCTGTTAAAGGGGAGATGGGGGAAGAAAGCAGTGGGACCATTGGTGTATCTGATGCAGGTCAGTATAAGAAAGAGTACAACCTGGCTGGGGTGGCTCAGTGGTTGAGCGTTGACCTATGAACCAGGAGGTCACAATTCGAATCTGGTCAGGACCCATGCCTGGGTTGTGGCTCAGTCCCTAGTGGGGGACATGCAGGAGGCAGCCGATCAATGATTTTCTCATGACTGATGTTTCTATCTCTCACCCTTTCCTGTCCTCTCTGAAATCAATACAAATATATTTTTAAAAGAAAAAAAAAGTACAGGCAGCAGGATTGAGACCTTGAGGCGCCTTCAAACTCTCCATGTCCAAGTATGGAGAAAGTGTCTATGACGTGTGGCCCAACCCCAGGGCCTTCCAAGGCCTCTTTTTTGCAGCTGTTGGGGAATAAAAGGCAACAAGTCCTACAGGAATGCGCTAAACCAACCCAAAATTCAGGTCCCGACTTTTTTTTTTTAATATATTTTATTGATTTTTTACAGAGAGGAAGGGAGAGAGATAGAGAGTTAGAAACATCGATGAGAGAGAAACATCGATCAGCTGCCTCCTGCACATCTCCTACTGGGGATGTGCCTGCAACCCAGGTACATGCCCTTGACCGGAATTGAACCTGGGTCCTTTCAGTCTGCAGGCTGATGCTCTATCCACTGAGCCAAACCGGTTTTGGCCAGGTCCCAACTTTTTAAAAATACATATTTTTTTATTGATTTCAGAGAGTAAGGGAGAAAGAGAGAGAGAGATAGAAACATCAATGGAGATTGAGCCCGCAACCCAGACATGTGCCCTGACCAGGAATTGCACCATGATCGCCTGGTTCATAGGTTGATGCTCAACCACTGAGCCACACCAGCTGGGCAGGTCCAGACATTTTCCTGAAACTGTGAACCCACAATGCGACAGGTGGGCCGAGCGCTCCCAGCCCTTGCAGGAGCACCAGTGTGGTTAGCGGGGAAGGGATGTGAAGACTCAGTCATAATGGGTCTGAGCCCATGCTTGGAAAACCATTCTCTGAGAAGACTGCTCATGCCAGAGAGCGTTCACAGATCTAGGTGTTCGATAGAATAATGAAATTCTCAACTAAAGCCTTTTCGTTTCCAGCGACTGCATTTTATACGTCTATTGTATAAAAGGGAGGTTAGCCATATGGTTAGAGAGGGTTCTTCATTTTGTCGTGGGGCATAGAGGGGAGACTTTACATTCCAATGCCCGGTCTAGGGACAGCAGTGCCTCTCCTCCCTTGGACCCATCCAGAGGTGCGTGCTGGTAGAAGCTGCATCAGGTCCGGGGCCTGCGTTAGTCGCTGCGTTCCTGGCTGTCCCACTTTTACTGACCTGTTTTCTGGCCCATCTGTGGCCTTGGCAGTATCCCTGCCTTCCTGTCTCAGATCTGCCAGCACCATAAATTAGGGAGTCTGGAGCTGGAGAGGAGCGGCCAGAGTGTGTCCGCGCTGCCGCATGGGAGGTGAGGCTCCAGGGATGTCACGCTCATCCGTCTCTTCTAAGCTCCATTTTCCCCTAAGTCACATGGCCACTATTTTTGTAGTTGTTGTACTAGGTAGTGGCAGCCCATGCGTGAGTAGATTCCAACCAGATGATTCCTGATTTCAAGACAGTGACTTAGTAAGTAAATACTTCAATACCATGTTGTGCTTCCCTAGCAGGAATTTAAATTTCCAAAACAAACTCATCTCAGGTGTTTGTATGATGGTTATAATGGGGCTAAAATAGGTATACTTACCTATTTTTAAATATTGCAACCATAATTTGGTTTGATTTCTACTTGAACATGGAAATGGACCTTCAGTTTGGGTTGGTAAATGTATTTTTTGTTTATTTTTGTTGTTGTTGTTATTTATTTTTTAGCTGTAAGACAGAAAGGTAAACGGATGCTTGCAAAATTCATTTTTTAAAGTTATACTTTTAAAAAAGGTTAGGAAAAACATAGTTGAGAACTGTCATTTACTAAAAATATATAAAGTAATTAAATCAGCAGCTTCAGAGTTTAATACACGTTTCTGCTGGAAGCAGGCTGTGAAAATCGTATTTGTGGGAATCTTTGCAGGATGTGATTACAAGACTGAAAGAGGAGCACACGTTAGGGAAGTACCTCAGCAGCACTCCAATCATTTTCTTTATTTCTAAGCAGTGCTCTGTGGGTGGGACACCTCATATTTTTATTTTTTGCTTGTGAGTTCCTCACAGTCAGAGGATTGCCAGATAATTATATCACCAAGGAGAAAATGTGTCCTCACAGAATGTTGTAAAATAAAAGAGAATGAAAGCATTGAGAGCTCTTTCCCTCGACCTAGATGTATGACCTCCCAAACCCCCGGCAGAGCCCACAGATGCATCACATCTCCAGGCCCCGCTTCGGCCCCCTACAGCCATTCCCCCCGGGCCTGGGGGACACACACATCTATAATTCCTAGATTTACATTTGGATTGACTCTAGGCATTACAGTTTTACTGTTGTCATAGAAGAGGATAACAGACACAGTAGGAAAAATCATCCACATCCCTCTGCTCGGATAAACCAAGCATATTCTTCTTTTTAATGTCATTTGTAATTCCTGTAGCTACATACTACCACATCAGTTAGTTGGTAATCAGGCCATTTTATATACTTGGCAGGGAGGTTAGAGTAGCAATTTCTAATGCTTTGTGACTGTAATGCTCTCTTGACATTGGCTAGTTGTGCTCACAGGTCTGTCTCTTTAACTCCCCTCTTCCTTATGTTATAGACATAAGCAGTAACACTTTTTTTTGAGGTGAATAGACATATAATAAAACACCCTCGCTTTAGGTGAACAGTTCAGTGAGTTTGATCAATGTCTACACCCTGTGAGTAGCTCACAATCAAGATGTAGAATATTTCTACCACCCCAAAGGATTCGTGTCCTTCCTCAGCCAGTCCCCCGAACCCCAGCTCCAGGTCTGCTGATGTGCTCTCTGTCACTATAGGCTAGTTTGCCTTTTCTAGAATGTCACATATGTGGAATTATACAGTAGTAACTTTGGTTTTTATTTGAGATACTTTAAGGTCTTAAAAAAGTGCTACAAATTATTCATCTAGAATTTTTCCAAAATGCTTCATCTGCTAGCCCAGTGCCCCAAATTCCAACTTTCATTTTAAATGACTCTTTAGAGTGTGAGGATGAGAAGAGTCCAGGTGCTGTTTGTCTCTCTTCACAGTTTCTTATCATTGTCTTTAATATTTTGATTTACCTGGAAGAATGCCAGAACATCCCCTGTCTTATTGGCTTCCTGTATTGGTCCAAGTTTGGAGTCAGAATAGGGGTGAAAAGTCCTTTGAATTCTGTCCTGCAGATCCCTTTCCTTTCTTTGCTGTAACAGTAAGACCTGCTCATACCTTCAAGTTGGCAATAATTAAGAGATCTGACAGCACTGAGTGTTGGTGAGGGACTGGAGCATCCAGTGCTCTTACACATTATCTCGTCAAATTCAAGGTGCTCCTTCCTTCCTAGGACCCAACAGGTTGGCCTTCAGGGTAAGCCCCAAAGATGCATGTATGAGACTGTCCACATTATTACTGTCTAGAAACACTCTGAATGTCCATCAACAGTTATCAACTATGATAAATTATAGACCATCCATACAATGAAACTTTATAGAGCTGTTAGAAGGAGTTATGACCTGGCCGGCATGGCTCAGTGGTTGAGCATCAGCCTGTGAACCAGAAGGTCACAGTTTGATTCCTAGTCAGGGCACATGTCATAGTTGTGGGCTTGATCCCCAGTTGGGGTGTGTGCTGTAGGCAGCCAATCGATAATTCTCTCTCATCATTGATATTTCTATCTCTCTCTCCCTCTCCCCTCCTCTCTGAAATCAATAAAATATATATATACATTTTAAAAAGAGTTATACACTTCAGTGTAGGTGAATCTCACTGACATAATGTTGGGTGAAAAAGGCAAACTATAATATACATGTAACGATATTTTTATAAAATTTAGAACAACGAAAATGAATTCTGTATATTGTTTAAAGGTAGATATGTATGTAGTAATGTATTAAGAGACGAGTGAGAATAGACACTAAACTTGGGGTAGTGCTACCTCTGGAGGGTAGGGGGTAGGGTGATGGAATAGAAGGGAGGAGGGGGAGAAACACACAGGGCTTCAGTATCTAATGTTTGATTTCTTTTTAAAAAAATATTTTTACTGATTTTAGAAAAAGGAAGAGGGAAGGAGGGAGGGAGGGGAGGCGGGGGGGAGAAAATCGCTGTGTAAGAGAGAAACATTGATAAGTTGCCTCCTGCAAACAAACCCACAACCCAGGCATGTGCCCTGATCAGTAATTGAACCAGCAACCTTTTGGTGCATGGAACAGCACTCAACCAACTGAGCCACACCGACCAGGGCTAATGTTTGATTTCTTAAGCAAAGAGATTCATAATATATAGGTGTTTATTATATTATTATATAGGCATCATCTGTAGGAAGGAGGGAAATAGTATTGTTGTACTTGGGGCAATGATTGTAAACATGGATCAGCAATCATATGCTCTGAAGGGCCAGATGGTAAATATTTCAGGCTTTGCAGGCTATACCATTTCCACAGAAGAAAACTACTCAGCTGCCATTGTAGCATGAAAGCAGCCATAGATGCTATGTAAACAAATGAGTGTGGCTGTGCTCCAGTAAAACTTGACTTACAAACAACATCAGGCATGGGCCCAATTTGGCTGCTCTAGACCAGTGGTTCTTAAAAGTTTTCCCTCCTGGCTCCTTCCCCAGTGACCCATATCATATTTTCATCTCTAACTGCTCATCACAGTTGACCAAGAGATTCAAAAATCTGGAAGGAATTGTATTCCAGAGGAAGTCCTAGGTGACCTTTGTGAATTTTCGATTCACAGAACTGCAGCTCTGATCTTTATGACTGTCACCAAGCTAGCCATAGGAGCCTACAGCTGGGTTTTTCTGGCCTTTCTTTTTCATCTCTTTGTTAACAAAACTTACATTTTCGATCTTAAATTCTATAAAACCAGCTTTTATTGGGCTTTTGAAAAATATTTTTGGACGTTGTACCCAGATGGTTTCCAAATTAAGAAGAATGTGGAGCCCTACTGAGCTCTTGAGCCAAGCTCAAGAATGCTTGGCTCAGTAGATAGAGCGTCGGCCTGCGGACTGAAGGGTCCCAGGTTCGATTCTGGCCAAGGGCACATGCCTGGGTTGCGTGTTGATCCCCAGTACGGAGTGTGCTGGGTTGTGGGCTCAATCCCCAGTAGGGGGCGTGCAGGAGGCAGCTGATCAATGATTCTCTCTCATCGATGTTTCTATCTCTCTCTTCTCTCTTCCTCTCTGAAATCAATAAAGAAATATATTTTAAAAAAAGAAAGAATATGGGAAGGAAAAACATGGTTCACTGTGAGGCAAGGTGCTGGAAAAGTTAGTTAGCTTGAGTGAGGGTATCATTTCACAACGTGTGTCTTTTATCAAAACATCCCATTGCACACTTTATTTTTTTACTTACTGATTTTTTTTGAGGAGGGGGGAGAGAGAAGCATAACATTTGTTGTTCCACTTTTTTATGCGTTCATTGGTTGCTTCTTGTATGTGCCCTGATTGGAGATCGAACCCTCAAGGTTGCCTTATGGGGACTCTGCTCTATCCAACTGAGCTACCCGGCCAGGGCCTCCTATTGTACACTTTAAATATATGCAATGTCTATTTGTCAAGCATCCCTCAATAAAGCTGGGGAGTTATGTGAAAGGCACCTGAGCAGGGTTCAGAAAGCAAAGCTGCCTCCCCTGACAGGACTGTGCCTTTGTTCCCAGGACGATTACATGGAAGCCCTCGCCCGACTGCACCTCACAGTGACCAGGGCCTACAAAGTGAACACTGACATCAACTTCGAGGTGTTTATTCATAAAGTGGATGGTCTGTCCGATGACCACAAAATTGAAACCCAAAGAGATATTCATCAGCGGGCAAACGATGACCTGGCAGACGCCGGATTAGAAAAAATTCACCTCAGGTGAGAACAGAAACCCCTCAGGGATCACTGTCATGGACGGAAAAAGCAGATTTGGGGTCCAAAGTCACCACAAGTGGTTCGCCCTATTTCGTACTGTGGACATTGGGATGGTATTTGGGTAAAACAAGCTTTCCAATGTGCTAATTCTAATCTTTGGGAAAAGCAGTGGGGTTTAATAATAATAAATTTCTTTTTTAAATAAGTAGTCAAAGCTAAGATTCCTCCCCTATTTGAGAAACACATAACATAAAACCCATGAACATAATCCAGGAGGTTAATTGAAGCTGAAGTTTACAGTTCTTGATAAATATGATAGTATCTAACTCTGAAGATAATTCAAATAGAAATACTCAGAGGAAAACCACTTCATCATTTTTTGTGGAAAATGAAAAATGTAGTTACTTCAATATGAATAATGTCACTGTTACTAGCCCATGAGGTGTGTGTATAGATGACCTGGTGTGCATTCTCTTGCAGAATATAAGGAAGCTGGTATGGACACAGACCATGCATTTTTTTTTTTAAATATGGAACGCTTCACAAATTTGCATGTCATCCTTGCGCAGGGCATGCTAATCTTCTCTGAATCGTTCCAATTTTAGTGTATGTGCCGCCAAAGTGAGCACTACATTCTGTTTTTAAGCTTTCCACTCCAGCCAGTCAGCAGATGAGAATGGACACAGTTCTTGTTTTTTTGGGTGGTGGGAGGAAATGGCCCGTTAAGACATGTTCAGTTTTTACCAAGGCTGTTTCAATTTCTGAATGTGTGCTTAAGGAGTGTAGATACAGAAGGCAAGTACTGGTGTTATGACAGCCTAAGCAGTCTCTTCCCCAGTCAAGGGGAAAATGTGATGAAATATTGTTTCCTCTTTCAGCTTTTATCTGACAAGCATATATGATCATTCAATATTTGAAGCTTTTAGCAAAGTGGTTCAGAAACTAATTCCACAACTCCCCACCCTGGAGAACTTGCTAAACATCTTTATCTCTGTAAGTAAATAATATCATCCTGTGAGCGTCATTTGCAGAATTTAAGAATAACATTGCAAGAATGAAAACGATCTTATTTCTGCTTACTTTTTGCAGCAACATTTCAAGGTCACAAAGTATGTACTTTTGGAGGTCGATCCAGAGATTATTTTAGGCCCTTTAAATTTTAACTCCCAAAATGGATGCCTGTACTTTACTGATATAATCGGAGTGTTTATTCAAATTGTAGGCAATCATTCAATGTTAATAGAGCCTTACCAGAGGTAGAGGATATAAAAGTTGGTTTGGCGATAAGATATAAACTGTTAACACTGAATGAGTCCTATAAACCACCAGCTCTCGTCCAGCTCTGCGGAGTAGCATTAAGGCAGACCTGTTGGTTGTACGCACGTGAATTCTCACCGCACAGTTTGGAATTTGCTTGTTTAGATTTCTTACATTTATTTTTAAATTTAAAATCAGTATAATTAGTGTTTTTACTCAGCCACCACTCAGTTTGTTTGCCTACAGAAAATAATTTGGATAATTCCACTTTTCATTTTCTATGCAAGTCCATTATAAAGAAGTATATGACAATGAGGTTTATGTTTGTTTTTTGTTTTTTGTTTTTTTTTATTGCTTAAAGTATTACAAAGGGTATTACATATGTGTCCATTTTCCCCCCCATGACAATGAGGTTTAAATTGTAATAACGTGGAACAACCTAAAATTATAGTAGCTTAATTTTTGCTTGTTTATTTTTCACATAGAGGATGGCATATAGTTTTACAGAACCATGACCTGGTTTGAAATCAGCTGTTGCTTTAAGTCAGCATCTTCTTTTTGTTTCAGAATTCTGGAATTGAAAAGGCATTTCTATTTGATGTGGTCAGTAAAATTTATATTGCAACTGATAGCACCCCAGTAGATATGCAAACCTATGAGCTCTGCTGTGATATGATTGATGTGGTGATTGACATCTCTTGTATTTATGGGTAAGTAAGACATTCTTAAAGGCTAAAAATCAAGCCATGCTTCTCTTTCAGAACCTTTGAGACATTTTGCGTTTACTTATTTGATTTTAATACTTTTGTTTTAAATGACTGAGATCTGTAAATAAATATACCATTTAGCATGCAATAATAATAATAACAAACAATTATTGCGTAAATTCCTGGCATTATGCTAAGAATCTCATTGCACATATTATATCATTTAATTCTCCTCTACTCCATGAGGCAGGAATTACTACCCCCACTTTAAGGATGGGAAAACTGAGGTTTACACTGGTTATGTTTCTAATCTTTGCTCACACTGTCAATAAGGGCTGGAACTAGAATTTGAACTTCAGCCAAACTGATTCCTGGAGTTTCTCTACTGAAAATCTGTCATCACACTATAATGTCTTATATACTTGGGACAGACTAATAGGATCATTGAACTCTAAATATCTCATGTTAACAACAGTTCTATTATCTTCTTCATTATAGGAGATAACTACTGGGTTGTTGTTTTTAAAATATACTTTTATTCTTATTATTCAATTACAGTTGACATTAAATATTATAGTTTCAGGTGGTTAGCATAGTGATTAGACATTTACATAACTTACAAAATGATCCCTTCAACGAAATTCTTTTTGATTATTTTTTATTGTGAGCAGCAGGGAATTTTAAAACTAAGCAAACAGCATTGCCTGTTTACTATTAAGGTCTTACATTCTTAGAAAATAGTTTTTTACACTTAAAATCATAAAATAAATCAGGAGTGGGAAAAGTTGATTGTGTTACCAGACATAGAAACAATTCCACATAATTATAAATTTGCTGAATGGGTGTCATACAGAGTGAATGGGTATGAACTAATTTGTTTATCTTATTAAGATACCACGTTGTCTGTTTATGTTGGATTTATGTCTTCATCCAATCATTGATTACTTGCAGCTTTTGTTCATCTTCCTCTTTACTCACTGTGACCTGCTTTATATAACCTCCTCTTCCGTGACAGTCTCGTCTCGCCATTTCGGTCTTCCACTGTCTGAAAATCCTTTGCCAACTCAGTTTAGATTCTCTGTTAACTCTGTTATACATACTAATACACATGAAAACACAGTGCCTTCTGTTATGAAAACGGGAAAGTGAATCTTCACAGGACTGTAGTGAGAAAGAAATAATTAGGTTTCGCCTGGTAAACCCTGGATAAATGTAGCTGCTATCATCATCATCATCATCAAACACTGCCATTCGGCTTTAGAAATAGGCCATGTTTCCTAAGATTATTGCCCTACAGTTATTTTTAAACTGTAAAGTGAATGACCTTGAAATAGCCACGGAAGCTGAATGTACCCTGATTATAGTCTAGATTGCTGTGGTAATCAAATACAATGAACAACACAACTGATCTGGCTCATATTTAACGATATGCATAATCATGATTGTGCCAGAAGCTAACTAGGCGTAAGTGGTAAGTAGCTCTTGTAAGGATGTTGACCAGAGTTACTTTACCCAGCTGAAACAGACATGGGCAGGGTTGGGAGGAGGCGAGAGCTGGATCCTCCATCACATTGTTTTCCTGTGGAGAGTGCAGTGTTCCTGGGAACCTACCAGGTTCAGTGAGAACCAGTCTTGGTCACAAATGGCCCTGTGGTTTTCCTCAGACATTTGCTGGCCAGGCAAGGAGCCAGCCCAGCTAAGAGGGGGAGGGCTAGCGATGTGTGCGGCAGCCCAGGAAGCAGGCTCCCTGCCAGTTCCCAGCTGCTCCCTGGAGACCAGTAGGGGTTAGAAGCAGGTGACCTGGTACCTCAGTGCACTGCTCAAGAATCTCAGCTGAGCCGAAACCGGTTTGGCTCAGTGGATAGAGCGTCGGCCTGCGGACTGAAGGGTCCCGGGTTCGATTCTGGTCAAGGGCATGTACCTGGGTTGCGGGCACATCCCCAGTGGGGAGTGTGCAGGAGGCAGCTGGTTGATGTTTCCCTCTCATCGATGTTTCTAACTCTCTATTTCTCTCCTTTCCTCTCTGTGAAAACTCAATAAAGTATATTTAAAAAAAAAAAAAAAGAATCTCAGCTGAGCTTCTGCGAAGGCTGGTCAGCTCTGCACACACACACACACACACACACACTCACACACTCACTCACACACACACTCAGACACACACACACACACACACACACACGTTACCGAGCAAGCCATCCTCCTGTGTTTTTATGTCTTTGTAGATGGCAATATGAGTAATAGAAAATAGTTGTTGTAGTCGTAAAAACTCACCAGTTTCTACTTGTAATATTTTTGATCTTTCTTTTTCCAATTTGTTTAATGTTTACTTTTTCTGAATGTGAATGTAACCCATGTTCATTGCAGAAAATATGTAAAACTATAAAGAATAACATTAAAATAGCCATAATCTTATCACCTAGTAACAATCACTAACATTTTTATATATTTTATTCTTACTTTTGTGTAATTTTTAGGATAATGTGATCACTTTGTATATTTCACATTATATCCTGCTTTTTTCACTTAACATTATCACAAGAATTTTCCTGTGTAAAAAAACCACTATTTAGTATCTATATAGCATCCTATCTAATAAAGAGAGAATATACTAATTGAACCTCACACTGTCACGAAGATGGTGGTGCCCATAGCCAATAAGGAGGGAATATGCTAATTGACTGCCATGCCCTCAAAGATGGTGGCACCCACAGTCAATAAGGAGGGAATATGCTAATTGACTGCCATGCCCTCAAAGATGGTGGCACCCACAGCCAATAAGGAGGGAATATGCTAATTGACTGCCTTGCCCTCAAAGATGATGGCACCCAGAGCCACAAGATGACGGTGCCCAGTCCCCTCAGCCCCGCTGGGGTGGCAGGTGCGGCAAGGCCAGGCCTGGCCCCAGGCAGACCCGGCCACTCCGTGTGCCTGCCTCCAGAGTCCCACAGCCCCTCAGTCCCCCAGCTGCCTAGGGCCGGCCCGAGGCATAGGCAAGCCTCAGATGGCGGCTTCCCAGCCTCTGAGGGCCGCCCGAGGCTCAGGTAACCAGGGCCGGCCGAGGCTTGCACTGCCAGCAGTGGCAGCAACAGAGGTGTGATAGGGCATCACCTTCCCCTGATCACCAGGTTGCCTCCCTCCCCTGAGGGCTCCTGGACTATTAGAGGGGGCAGCCAGGCTGAGGGAACCCTCCTCCAGTGCATGAATTTTCATGCACTGGGCCTCTAGTAGTAGTATATTTATTTGGAAATTTTAAATGCAGGTTTCTTCACTGCTTACAACAGTGGTTCTCAACCTTCCTAATGCCGCGACCCTTTAATACAGTTCCTCATGTTGTGGTGACCCCCAACCATAAAATTATTTTCGTTGCTACTTTATAACTGTAATTTTGCTACTGCTATGAATCATAATGTAAATATCTGATATGCAGGATGTATTTTCATTGTTACAAATTGAACATAATTAAAGCATAGTGATTAATTGCAAAAACAATATGTAATTATATATGTGTCTTAGGCGACCCCTGTGAAAGGGTCGTTCAACCCCCAAAGGGGTCGCGACCCACAGGTTGAGAACTGCTGGCTTACAATTTTTAAATGTTACAGTTAATTCTCAAAACATTACTTTATTAGCAAGAAATTCAGCTTAGAAAAACAGTAACTGAAAGTCATACAAAGGAAGTTAAGAATTCTGTTAAAGTATCTTTAACATTTGAGACTTAACACTTCTTAAAATTTTTCTTTACTGTTCTGGTAGGTTATAGTGAGTTGCATCCTTTTATAAAAAACTAACTTCTACAACTTACTTTGAAGTAGCCATGTATGTGCCAGTTTAAAATACTCTCAAAACTAAACACCTTCATTTCCTTTAAAATACTCTCCTTAAAGTACTCTACAGCCTGGCCTTCATGGCTCAGTGGTTGAGCATCGACTAGGAGGTCACGGTTTGATTCCCAGTCAGGGCGCGTGCTTGGGTTGCAGGTTCGATCCCCAGTGTGGGATGTGCAGGAGGCGGCTGATGAATGATTCTCTCTCATCAGAGATAGATGTTTCTCTCTCTCTTCCTCTCCCTTCCTCTCTGAAATCAATAAAATTCTATTTAAAATAAATAAGTAAAATACCCTACAATTCAGGCAGTTTTATGTAATCTGGTTTGTCACCCTCCCCACTTGTGATATTTACAAGATTAAAGGCATTAACTCTAAAATTAGATGAGTTTGAAGTCCTGGCTGTACCCCCATCATCAGTTTTGACCAAGTTTTCTTATTTTCCCAACCTGACCTCAGTTCCTCAGCACTGAGGATTCTTGTGCCAGACAATATAATGCATAGTAAGAACCAGGGACAGTGCCCATCACAGAATACATGTTTAGTAAATGCTGGCTCTTACTACATAAAATGATAAGGATCATCAGCAGCTGAGTTATTATGCTTATCTATAATAATAAAAGTGTAATATGCTAATTAGACTGGACGACCTTCCAGATGAAGCTGGGCCCGCGAGGGCCGAGGCAGCTGCCACCGTTGCCTCAGGCAGCTGCAAGGGCCAAGCCCCTTGCATGACTTTCGTGCATCGGACTTCTAGTGTATTAATAAGGCTTATTTAGCAAAATTACAATTAAATCAGATTTCTGGTCAAGTATTTATGTTTGGGAAGCAAAAATAAATCAGAAAATGTATGCATGGTTTCACATAAGGGGAAGAGGTACAGGGAAGTGTTCCTTTGCCCATGAGGAAAGGATGCATAATTCTTTGATTACATCAGTGTTTCGAAGGGTCCAGTTTCAGTCATTAAGGCTGTGGGGATTCAGAACTAGTCACCCCAAGATATGTCTCTGTGGTATGCAGGTTGTTTCTTGAGCTAAAGGCAACTTTAGCCTCCAGTTCAAAAGAAATTTCTGCCCCTCCCTTAACTACCTAGAAGAACTTGAATTAGGGGCCTTGCATATAATAAAAGGCTATCAGTGATAACCTTTTTTTTATTTATTTTTTTAAAAAAAAATTTTTTTTGTTTTAATATATTTTTTTATTGATTTTTTTACAGAGAGGCAAGGCCAGGCCTGGCCCCAGGCAGACCCGGCCACTCCGTGTGCCTGCCTCCAGAGTCCCACAGCCCCTCAGTCCCCCAGCTGCCTAGGGCCGGCCCGAGGCATAGGCAAGCCTCAGATGGCGGCTTCCCAGCCTCTGAGGGCCGCCCGAGGCTCAGGTAACCAGGGCCGGCCGAGGCTTGCACTGCCAGCAGTGGCAGCAACAGAGGTGTGATAGGGCATCACCTTCCCCTGATCACCAGGTTGCCTCCCTCCCCTGAGGGCTCCTGGACTATTAGAGGGGGCAGCCAGGCTGAGGGAACCCTCCTCCAGTGCATGAATTTTCATGCACTGGGCCTCTAGTAGTAGTATATTTATTTGGAAATTTTAAATGCAGGTTTCTTCACTGCTTACAACAGTGGTTCTCAACCTTCCTAATGCCGCGACCCTTTAATACACTTCCTCATGTTGTGGTGACCCCCAGTTTCATTGTTACAAATTGAACATGATTAAAGCATAGTGATGAATCAAAAAAACAATATGTAATTCTATATGCGTTTTCCGATGGTCTTAGGCGACCCCTGTTTAAGGGTTGTTCGACTGCTAAAGGGGTCGCGACCCACAGGTTGAGAACCGCTGATCTAGAGTGAGAAGAGAGGGACT